CATTCCTAGCTAGCTCCACACTTCTACATTACTTCATGTCCTGTATTGATGTGTTTTAAAGCCTTCGCAAGGGGTTGACAAGGAAAAATGCATTTAAAGAACACAAAAAGGTAGGTACATGAGGGGGGGTAGCAAATATGTGCATGTACAGGATGTATACATAGTGTATGTATGTACGTATGATTATGTATGTATGCATGGCAGTATGTATGTGTATGCATTAGTCTTCTTGTAGTGCATGCAGAAACAGACTAACAATGTAAAATCCGGTACTGAAACGTTAGTGTGTCTTAAAGCTCCGACCAGCAAAGTCAAGATGAGGCCTTCCATAGGCGCTGGCGCTCGGTGTTGTTCAACGCCTCATACCCGAAGATTTTACTGCGCAACTCCTTCTCCTGGCAAAAATCCACTGAAACGAATGCGACAGCATACGTTGTGCATCTGATGATACTCACGAAACATTAGAAGTCTGCTGCGTCCTTGATGCCAAAGACCGACGACTCGTAGCACTCTGGGTGAAGGTAGAGTGTGTATGCATCGTCGGCCTGCCTTAAAACGAGGCTCGCGAACTGGGCTTTTGCCAACTCCATCCTGTTTTACTGCACAGCTCCCCATGCAGAATTCCGCCGTGCTGCCGCCATCGGAACGGGTAGCCCAGTCTCAGCGCCTGGGCCAAACATGTTTCCAGTATCGGACTGGGCTCTGGTGGTGTGGTGAAGCCGGCGACTCGATTCGATGCGGGCCGGGCACGCCCTTCTCGATGTCCTCCCCACAGCGACGGCACCGAGAACGGCCGGTGGGGGCATACTGGCCTCGGACATGACAGCACCAAAACCAACTCTACGGCGCACTGAAAGGCCCTGCCCTCGGTTTCGTGGGAGCGCGGACTGTCTGCTGCCAGATTGCAAAGCAGTGCGCAAGGAACAAGGCTCTGCTTGTCCTTTCGGGAGAGGCCCACGATGTCCTGCTGGCCTGGAGACCCACGGATCGAAGTAAGGCGCCAGGCGCCTCCTCGCTGTAACAGACACATGGAAGCATTTTAAGGCAGCGGCCATACCAGGATTTGGCCTCTGGGTCGAACCAGGCAGGCGAGACAGGAGTCGGCAGAATACTGCTGGACGATGAAGAGCTGGACTTTTCCTGCGTCAGGAACTTGTCCAGCCTTGGATTCTTTCGTCCGGGGGGCATTTGTCTCAGAGATGTGCCAACACTGCGGAGACCTGGGAGATCAATAATTTCTACGACAAGGCACTGGGCGAACTCTCCCATGGGCTCGGCCTTGAGATCACGTCAAGGCAAGCTCAGGAACAGTTCCTTTGAGATACCCGCACGACAGCTGAGACATTAGCACGGTGAACAACACAAAGCGTGCCTTGAAGCAGAACTCGAGCCGGTAGCACAAAAGATAATCAGCAAGTGCAACAAAACTCCGAGTGTACTGCTTTCAAGCTTCAATTCACATCCAGATTCCGCTCTTTCGATCCCCCCATCCACGGTCCTAACATGGACAGGCACAGTCATAAATCAAAAGTGCAATTCTCCTGGACTGTGAGAAGATGCCGCCCTCTACAGCATCTCACCAGCGATGTCCGGAAGATTGCAGGGGCGCAAGGCACGATTGTTCTACTGATTGCATCAGACGCACAACACTGTGCTTGCACCCCTCCAGAACTGCCAATAAACCGGCATTTTCCGAATGGCATAACTAATTAGAGTGAAACGGTGATGTGGAAAATTCAGATCTACCTACCTCTACAAACACAAGAGCATGGCTTCGCAGCACAACAGACGTGTCTCAGGACTCTTTGCCGTCTTTGAGAATCTGTTCGAGCTTCTTCTGCTGCCTGGAAAGAGCTAAGGAGTCGACAGGCAAGATGTGTCAAAAAGGAAGCACGGCACTTGCAGGCATCAGCCCTTTTGCTGCTGCTCGATGATTGAGAGCTCACGGGCCGAATCTGGGAGACTCGGTCCGATCCGAAGGAACAGCCACCGGGCCAGCACAGTCTGCGCGAAGCATCCGCAGCTTGCCTCACGAAGCTTGCCCTCATGCTCAACATTGCTCAACCCACGTTCCTTCGCTCTGCCGGTTGATGTTGTATTTGTGTCCAGGCACTTCTGGAGGTCTTGTGACACCACGGGTCACATCCGCCTTCAGGACAGCTGCAGCCAGGCGCCCGTCGGATGATAATGCTTCCAGGACCTGGCATGTGCCATCCATGAGATGCTTCGATCTAAGGGGGATGTTTAGATGAGCTTGTTTCCACATAGTAAGAAAATATGACAGGGTATTCGGGGCCGAGCAACAAGTAGATACCTGCATCGCCCCAGAGGAACGTGTTCCAGGGAAGCAGGTGCCCCTTCAGTCCCTTCTCCATCTGTCCAGAAAGAATCTTCCAGTGGACTCCTCGGCAGCATCCAAAGGTGCCGATGGGGGGAGCAAAGGACTCAACAAGTCTATGTTAAAATCCAGAATCCGGCGCCGACCATGAAGGCCTCGGAGACATCAAGCTCCGGCAGCTGATGAACCTCGCGCCTCAGCGGAAGATGATGGCAGAGCTGCTCCAGACTCGAGACCCAAAGCTAGCTCGTTCTTGGTTCGGCGCGGCTGCGGGTGTTGATCCAGCAGCTTCTTGGGGAAAGTCAGGTGTCGGTGAGTGCCCTGTCTGTGCAATGCCGTAAGAGACAGCGTCGTCTATGTGGTAGTGTGCATTGCTTGCATCTCATGATGTCATGCTGTCAAGACATGGCTAGCTGGATGGATTGGCCTGGCTCCAGTCGATGCCGATCTGCTTGAGTCTCTCAGCGTTTCTTTCCTCACTCAACGATCTTCGACACACTGCCGTGAGCATTTCGCGACCCTCAGCAAGAGCTCAAGCTATCGTTGCACCACGTCTCGGCTGCGACCGATAGAGTCGTTTGCAGATCGGCTGAGTTGGCCAAATTTGGCAAAGAGGTCGAAGAATCTGTGTGAGCGTCAATCCTGATTCATATGCAGACGCAGCGTCATCAATTGTCACAAGAAGTCGTAAGTCATAAGTGTCGAGACCTGGACACATCAGCAACGCAACTGGGGCCCCAGCAGTTTCAAGACCATCGCCTGCGACTCGCAACGCTAATCTTTGTATCGGCACGTGCAGCGCACCAGGCATTAGTTGTCCTACTGTGGCACTCTTTCAGACGTACCTTACAAAAAACTGAAGGGCGAGACGTGCGCAGGGATTCCAGATGCAGGGACTGAGCTGCAGATTGATGTCATGCTCACCTTATAACATACAGACATGAATGCGACAAAGTATGACACACCGAAAGGCCGCGACATAACCTCCCGCCCCATACCAGGGTACCACCTTAAGTCATGCGCAATGACGAGAAAGAAAACCCGCTCTCGGCTTTGGCCTTGACGAAGGGGCCCTTCACGGCCACGCTCACCTCGGCGTCGCGATCCCCAAGCAGGGAGCGGTCGTTCAGGTTGGCACTACCGACGATGGCTTCGGCACCTGCAGGGCGCCCCGGAAAAGCAGCTTGAATGAGATCAGGGTCGAGGGAGACTTCGCAACCAAAAGAACAGGCACGCAAGCGCACTCTTAACTCCGAAAAAGGCTTTCAACCGCCAGTGTTGGCTTCAGGCTGCCTTCAGTATCGTAGTCGATGGCAATGAGCTTCGAATGCACGAAAACCCCGTAGAAAGCCGAAGATGATTGGTCCCTGAGAGCTTTGCGCGGAGTTTTTCATGTGCTTTTTGCAGGCATTTCGGGCATTGAACCCCTCCACCCACAGCTGCATCACGCTCTCCCTCGAAGGGTACAATGTGGTTCTGCCGCCAAGTAGCACAGTCTTGGCATTGGCAAGGACGTACATGCCGAAATACTCCGACAATGGCCTACCTTGCGCTGAAACACATGGACTCACGAAGGGCCTAGGCCTAGGGGGCAGGCATCTCCAAGAACATGAGGAAGACAGACAGCCACAGTCTGATTGCGAATGAGTCTCCGATTTTGTTAGTCTTCCAGAACCTCACAGGCGAACTGGTGAAGTCGTGCATCCCCCTACATCCTGGAATAGGGCCTACGGTCTTTTGACGTCTTGTGCCAAAAAGAAAGGATAGGGATAGTCTGGCATTGTCCTTCAGCCTGCTCTGCCGAGGAGCTTTGTCAGTGCCTGCCAGCTTTCAAGACCCGCATCTGGAGGCTGTTCTAAGCTTCGGTGGAGACGTGATTTACTGAAAGTGTATTTCAAGGAATGAAGCACTCAGTCGATTTCTACCTACACCTCAAGCTAGCTGGGTTGATAGCTATGTAGGCATGTAAGCAGATATATAAATAGATAGATTGATTGATAGATAGATAGAGAGATAGAGAGACAGATAGAAAGACAGATAGCCAGATAGATAAATAGATGGAGAGATAGAGAGATAGATACATAGCGAGATAGAGAGACAGAGAGAGATAGAGATGAAGAGAGAGAGAGAGATAGATGAGTAGAAAGATAGATAGATAGATAGATAGATAGATAGAAGTATAGATAGATAGATAGATAGATACATAGAAGTATAGATAGATAGATAGATAGATAGATAGACCGATAGACAGAGAGGTAGATCGACAGATAGAGAGGTCGATAGACATAGGTAGGTAGGTAGCTGGCTAGCTAGCTAGAGTGGGAGGGTAGGCAGATAGAAAGATAGACAGAGAGAGAGATATAGATAGAGAAAGATTGATTGATTGATTGATGGAAAGATGGACAGACCAAAATTTTGTGTGTACATATTTATATATATATATGCATACATATATATATATGTATATATAATCACATATATATGTATAATATATATATATATATGTATGTATATATATATATATGCATACATCTATACTGCTGGAGCCACAGACGAAGCCCGCCTCGACGAGGCACTGCGCAGTCCGCAAGTTGGGGTACTGGGTCCTTTGTCAAAAGGGCAGAGCGAGGGGAAAGGTTACGCGGACGGTGCTCCATGAGCGGCTTCACTAAATTACTTGGATGCGCGGTTGAGTGACTCAGACTCTTCTGTTGCTAGCGGAATGATGATGACGGCGGAGAACTTCTCGCCATACTGCGCCTGGCACGGCAACTGCAGTCTGCCGACGCATGGGAAAAATGGGGGATCTGTGATTCTCGAGTCCAAAGCTGTGCCGAGGATTTGTTGAAAGATCAGCTGGGAGAAGTGCTAAAGCACTTCCACCTTCGTGGTGATCTTCTGGAAGAGCAGGTCTGCCAGGTCGTTCTTGGCAGAGTTGGCCAACTCCGAACATCGCCCAGACGCCGCTTCCTTGTATCGTGTATCAGATTTAGCAAAGACTTCAACATGCCGTCGAAATCCGTCCTTGTGCCTCCTATCACAGAAGTTTGTCAGATTTTGTCACCAACGTAGACGACATCATCAAACAAGTGTTGCTTGAAGGCAGTTTGGCTACGGCAGGATAGTCATGTACTGAACACATGCTCGACCATGTTGCAGAAGCATGAGCGCAGCGCGCCAGAAGACCGAGGCAAGCAAAAGCAGCTCACATTGATTAGTCAGCTGGAAAGATACTCCCCCATCGATCGAACATTTTACAACCGGCTCATAGTCTGCTGACACTGGCTTGTTTGATTCAGGTCCTGGTTGTAGTTGGTGACAACCTCCGGGTCATGAACATTTGGGTGTTTCGCCACAAGCCAAGCACTCACGATCGGCTCGGGGTGGGACGGGCTTATTTTGCTGACATCAAACCGCTTCCCTACCATCGCTACGCCTTCGCGATCGGAGCATATCCATTCGGGATGGAGGGCGGGACGCGGGGAGGGATGGTGAGGGCGAACGTTTTTTGGTGGGGATGGGTGTTGTGAGTTTTGTGGAATCTTGAACTTGACCTCGCCCAGTGCCCACCTCCTATTGGGTCAACTTCCCAGCCATCGAATCGCCCGTACACGCTCGCGGACATGCGCTTGAGATTGCAACGTTCGCCATGGAGATTGCTCGGAGGCGCGCATGACGAACCAGGAGCTAGGCTTTGGAGGCAGCCGACACAATCCCTGCAGCCTCAAGCCAGTGTACATAAGAGGGAAAGTAGCTAGAAACCTAACCTCTTGGGGGGAACCTGTCAGTTACCACCATGGATGTGCTTGGTGGCTAAGACAAGTCTTTGCAGCAACTGAAGGGTTCCAAGCATCTTTGCTGCTCAAATGGCTCCCGAAGTACTGGTTCTCGATGTAAACCTTAAGCCCCATGGTCATCGGTTCGAGGCACCAAACAGAATTGAAAACGTCTTCTAGCAGACCAGGCAACACTACGTTCTGCTCTGCGAATCATCTGTCGATGCTCCTGCGAAACATCCGAACGAAGATGCTGTGAACAGGAAAGCACTTCGAAACACGAGTGCGAGCCTGAAATATGTCAGCAACCACCTGTTGTGCTCCAAGCCACATGTTGCTTCCTGGCCAGAAAACTCATGTGCACGTGTGCCAATTTTGTTAACAGCGTCGGCTAGTTTCCTGCATCAACCATCGAATGGGTCAAGGTGTGCCATTTCATGTGTCCATTTCGCGGAAAATCTGACAGCCCTTGCCTTGAAGCAGCATGCGGCATTGGTTCTGCGCCTGATCCAAGGAGCGAAGTGATGCAGGCAAGTTCGAGGGTTCAAACCCGGTCAACACTCTATGGTCACTGCTACTGTTTCTTAGCATTGCCGTATGCTACTACACTCACGTAGCACGGCAACGACGACGATGACGACGACAACTCCAACACTCCTCCTCCTGTCCTCCTCCTACCACTCCTGGTACTCCTGCTCCTGCTGCTCTTCTTACTCCTACTGCTCCTACTCCCTACGACTCCGAGTACTATTCCAACTCCTCCCAATCCTCCCACTCCTACTCCGCTGCTGCTACCGCTGCCTCTGCCACTGCTGCTGCTGCTGCTGCTGCTGCTGCCCCTCCTCCTCTTTCTGCCTCCTCCTCCTGTGATTCCTCTTCCGCTTCCTTCATCTCTTCCTCCACCTCTTCCTCCTCCGCTTCCTCTTCCTCTTCCGCTTCCTCCTCCTACTCCTCCTCTTCCTCCTCGTGGTGCCGCTGCTGCCGCTGCTACCACTGCTGCCAGCAGCAGCAGCAGCAGCAGCAGCAGCAGGAGTAGTAGTAGTAGTAGTAGTAGTAGTAGCAGTAGTAGCAGTAGTAGCAGTAGTAGCAGCAGCAGTAGTAAGAGTAGTAGGAGTAAGAGTAGGACTGAAGCCCTGCTGCTCCGCGAGCGTTCGTGATTATTGAAGGCCAGTTGCAGAAGCGGCCAAGGCAACAGCTTTCTTGGAGTGCTGGATCTGCAACCTGGCTCCTGGAGAGCAGCTCTGCGGCTTCCCTGTCCCAAGAAAGCAGCAAAGCCACTCCTGCCACGGTCACCTCCTTTGGAGAATCCGAGCGGAGGTCGACTACTGCGAAAGTCCTCGAACCATCCAAGGGAAACCCAAAGAAAAGCAAAAGCGAACATCTGACCGATACTCTGAATTGAGGCGAAGGCTTGGAGTAGTCTTGACAGAAGCAACCCAAGCCCAGCAGCTCTTCGGCTTCATACCTGCAAGTCAGCGAAATGTATCAAACGACCTACAACATCTCCAAATGCCACATCTTCAGCTTTGAAATTCGAACTTTCATGTTTGAATAATATGGATGAGCGGCTGCTTCATCATCTCTTCAGTCTTACAGCCAGGATCCTTGCCGGCGACCGTTGCATTTCCCTGCAAGCGAAGCCCAAGCGATGCCCACGACATGAACATGAAAATGTCGCCAAAGGCCCAGCTGCTCAGACCCTAGCCTCGCAGGTGCAGCCTTTGGAGACGAGTTCCTGTAGTTTGCTCCCTCTTTTCCTCCCTCCAGTGACCACGGTACAAAGATCTCCTGCGGAACAGAACACGAAATGTCGGTGGGCATGGCTTGAGAAGATTCTGGGCTCTGGGGGTTTCGGACGTTGCTCGACCAACGGTGTCAGAATATTCGAAGTTCACAGCACTGTCCAGTGTCCAGTTGGTTCGCACTAGCTGGACGCTGAAATCATGTCGCCGATGATCTGGAGGACCAGAGCGGCATAGCGGAGCTTACGGGCGCTTATGGCGAAATCGGTATCGACTCTGGCTCGGCAATAAGGCGCGGCCATTCTCCCCAGCCGCTGGTGATCATGTACGACGGCATTGACAGTTGTGGCGCGTGGGCTTATAAGGCTTATCATGTTCCTCGGAACAGCTCTTGCCCCATAACGGAGACCTGAGTGGAACTGCTTGTGCCTGCAAGGTGTTACGGGTGGAGAGTCTCCTGGCGCGATCAACGTTGAGATTTGATTCTGCGCTCGATCCTGCCGCATTCGTCGTGTATGTCTTCACACATCACACTCGAGAACTGAAGACATCTGACAAATCGACGTGCACCGTACGTTTAGAGTTCTACTCGAAGGTCCCACCAATCGTAACCGTGCTCGTTGTGGTAGCGTCGGCAGCAGCACCGTTTAGTCGCTCGCTACACTTGCTCTGCAATATGGCAACAGGTGACAGCTACTTGACCCAAAGGAACAGCTGTGATGCGAAACCCTGCAACATGGTACCAGCGGCCAAAAGAATTTATTCAACAGCCCTCTACCCAACAACAGCACATCGCACTGGCTCCTTGAAAAGGAGTCGTGCTTGTCTCTGCTGGGGGCTGGGTGAAAAGGTGACCTGCGCAGCGCGAGTGACATTGCCGTGACGATACATATGATACATGGCTTGCCAGGAACTATGTAACTATGAGTAGTTGGTACTGGTATGCGAGGCACAGTAATCAGCAGACCTGGATCTGGATCCTCAGATCATGTTCGTACATTTCCAGCACTGGTCAACATCAGCATTGAGATGTTAAAGCTAAGCAGTTGGTCAACCAGCCTTTAAAAACGAACAGAGGCGTTTCGGAATCCAGAAAGATACATCATATCCAGGCCCTGGGCGCTCTCTTGACATGCCTAAGTCATCAGCTCCTTTCGTCGCTTTCGGCTCGGGTTCGGCCCGTGGCCTTTGTTTGTGACGACCTGGACCTTCAGCACGGCCCGCTTGGACAGGTCGCGGCGGGCGCCAAGATCCAACACCGCAGCCTGACCTATCGCGGTCATGGTTTCAACCTCAGACAGAGACACCAAAAACTTGAACGTGGGACGCAGCAGATTTCTGGGATCATGACTGGCTGTTCTTTGTAGGCCCCGTCTGTCTCCAACACGACCTGCTCGGTGCCTTCTGCCTCTGGCCAGTGGCATTGGTACCACTCTGACTGGCTCCTGGGATGTCTCAACGCCTTGGAGAGCAGCTTTACCGACAGACTTCCCAAGGATGTCAATGGCGGCATCTGCTCACTCTTGCACCTTGGCGCTTGACGCAAGGCCTATGCCCAAGAGTCATCGGCGCAACTGAGTCTGGGGCCCTTCTTTTTTTCCGGTGAACGAAAAGAACGTAAATTGCCTCAGCAACAGCGAGTCGCAGTCTCAGCTCAAGGGCTGTCAACCACAAGATGCAACTCCATTATCACTGGCCATGTCACTCGCACCACGTCCACCAGCGTTCTACGGCCACCTCGTAACAAGCGCTTCAATCTCCAAACAAGTCAAGAAATCCGTGGGGCACTGTCGGTGAAAGTTGTACGTCAACAGTGTGACCTCAGCCCCCGACCGCCGCCAAGTCTTCGGCCGCCTCACCGGTGAGCTTGACCATCACGTCCTCCCTGAGCAACGTGGCAGCCGGAAAGAGCCAACTCCCGGCTACAGCGTACTGGTTCAGGCAAGTGGCCAAGGCTTAAAATATCCGTGCTGTCCGTCCTTCAAGTTGCCCGGGAATGGAGTTCTTGCCTTTCGCTCGCACGACAGGGCTCCGTCCCAATCCCTAAGCAGGCGATGCCTCGTCAGGCAGCTTGTGCCTGCACACGCTTCGCTACTAAAGAACCCTTCCATGAGAATTAGCTGCAAGACACGGCCTGGCCGAGTCCAAACGTGAACCAGCAAAGTCGATTCCACCGGCATATGCTAGGCCGCGGTCCTGCAGAGCCACTCACTATCACGAGAAGGTTGCTAGACCAATCAATCTAAGTCACGAAGGTAAGCTAACATGCCAAGCGGCAAAGATAGTCACCTTGATGTGAGCCGACCACAAGACTGTGACCTGTCCCGGCAACAAAACTGTGGCGTCGACTGAAAAGCAGTTGGCGAAGCATTCTGCACAGCCATGGGCTCCCCGCAGCATCTCTGCTCGTGTCGACCAGCCTGGGCCCATGCAAAGCGCCCGATTCAGGCCCGGCCCCGAGGATGTGGCGAGAACTTCTGGCAAGCGACGTTTTCACGTTTGGATGCAAAGCGCGCAGCTCCGCAGCCGACTCCTCCACGGGATAACCCATCTTCTCTGAAAGAAGAGTCTGCCTGGCGACACTCTGCGTCAATTCTGTCCACAAGATGACGGCGATTTACGCTGAGCCTTTGCATAGAAGTTCGAGTTTTCCACTAATGCCCCCAAGCTGCCAAAACAAGTAGTAGATCGTCGCACCACGTTCTGCAGCTTTCTTGATGAGGTCCTGATGGTCACGGGAGTGAGGGCTCTGCCACGTGCTCACACCACTCCTTGCAACCTTGCTTCTTTCATGGTCACGCTCGGGGGCTCTCCGTACGTCGGACTGAAGATCTTAGCATCCTCAGCTCGGCAGTCGGCTCCAGTGTGCGAAGAGCGGCCTTGCGAGTCTGCTTTGTACAAGCGGCGATCACGGTCCACCAGCCCATCACCTCTGTATCGAAACTGCCATGTGCTTTGCAAATCCAAGACAGCTTTGCAAGCAGCCTTCTGCGTCTTACTCGGTCGCCAACCACTCGGAAGCTCAACTAGATCGTTTGCAGGGCTTCGACGCTTCAAGAAACAGTCCAAGCCACAGTGAGTCAGTCAGTCAGTTAGTCCGTCAGTCAGTCGGTCATACGCCGGGCTACGCATGGACAGGTAAGCCAGCATGCCGCACGATTCTATATAAGTCTGGATATCTCAAGGCTGAAGGCTGCTTTCTCAAGGAATTGACATGCTTTGTTCCTAGCAGTGTGACCCATTGCCGTGGCCTCCCCACTCTTATCACATACATGCTTGCGGCAGGCTGCAATGTTCAGCGCATAACTGGGCAAAGGGTGGTCGCATGCGGATCTCAGCAGCAAGGTCGTTTCGAGATTCAAGAGCATGTCTCTAGCAACGGAGTAGCATGCTCTGCGCAGAACTTCCGTGTTGGGCACTCTCGAAATGAAAGCAGCTGGGATGTCAAAAATACTTCGCAAGCAACGGTTCTGCAAACCATTACGATGCCGACGATCCGTGGCAAATAAACACATGCAGTTCAGCGAATACATCAGCTTCGGTTCAATAAGAGCTCAATACTTTATTGGTTTGAACCTTCCGGTCGCGCCATAACGAAGAATGCTTCCAAACTTTGAGTTCAAGAAGATCCTGCTTTGGCATCCCGATTCTCCGACCAAGTTCACGCCCTGGTAGACCATCGTGGCTGAGAACAGATCCCAAGTAGTTGATGGCCAGCTTTGGCGGGCATATGCTCACCCGTCGGAGTCTTAAAGATTGCTTAACATCGCACCTGTAGCAGTTGAAACTTAATATCCCAGTGAAGTTCCATGCCATACAACACCCCTGCATCCAAGCCACGATGATCTCGTTTGCCGTTTGGAACTGCTTGTACACCTCCGAGCGGGACACTGCCCACTTCTCGTCAAGATGGTGCAGTGCATGCCTCGTAAAAATAGTCTTGGCCGCAATGCACAAGCTCCGCATTGCAAGGTAGCCATTCGAATGAATGCCTGTCAGTGACAGCTGTGCCACCATACATGTCGCCAAGTTTTGGTGTCTCAGCATCGAAGAAGCTTGCAGGAGCAGAACAAATCTACGGCCCGAGCCTTTCTGGAACAAACTCGTCGTTGCCCAGCGGATTCAGCACCTGCATCACAGGCTTCGGAGCAAGCAAACCGGTCGAAACAAGATGTAGTACATTATAGTATATTATAGTATATTCTAGTATATTATAGTATCTTATGGTATATTATGGTATATTATGGTATATTATGGTGTATTATGGTATATTATGAAGGGGTGGCTGGTGGTTGCAGAACGTCTCCTGTCAACGCCTGAGTCTGGCGGGGCTTCACTCCACGCTCGAAACCCTGAAAGCCCCGTAGTCCCGGAGCCCCCCCTGATTCCCTTTCTACTGGTCTAGCTCAAACACCCCTCCTCTGAAGCCCAGGTTGCAACTCCCAAGAGCTGAGACCGGCACCGGCAGATATCTAGTTGCATCAGATGTGTGTTGGGTCAGGGTCAGGAGCAGCAGAGCACATCCTGACTCGTCAGCGATGCTCAAGGTAAAATACTAAACGAAAGATGGTCGTCACAGATCTTGCTGTTGCTGTTATTGCTGTTGCTCTTGCTATTGCTGCTGCTACTGCCACCGCTGCTGCTGATGACTAGAACATCGACGGAATACAATATAGTGACAAAAGCGACATAGAACATCGACGGAATACAATATAGTGACTGTGGCGCTAATGGCACTCACATCGAATATACAAGCAATTCAGTTTTGCAGTAGCCAGTAGCTTTGATGTTAAAAAAAGATACCAACAACAAGACAGCAATCGGAACGTGGCTATCACCAGTCATGTTATTGCTCGCAGATATGCCCGCACGCAAGTAAGTAGAGTGCGATTATTATTGCTACTGTGCCCTACAGTATTGCCGGGTCCATGGCATTTGCACAGCGTATCAACTGGGGCCGAGCTTCTCACGTAAACTGCCGGCATCCGGAATAATCTTCAATGGGAAAGGGCTTTGGCAAACTACAAAAACTCTCGGGCCCACCGCGGCGGTAGAGAGTTGAAGCGAAACTGCATGAAAAGCCTGCGCATCCTCGCTGCCTCTGTGCCAGACAGTCACAGCCCAGGAATGATACTAGAAGCCTTAACTCATCACTAAGTATGTCGAGCAGAGGCAAGCGACTACACGGATGTTGCATCATTGGCCTTTCTGGGAGATTTGCCGCCAGGCCCTTCACCGACCTCGGAGCACAGAAAAGCCTCACCGACTCAAACTAGCGGAAGACTTATCCAGTGGTCGATCACGGTTTCCGCCCCAAAAACGCCCCCCCTCAAATGGGAGCGCGGATTCATCAAGCTCCGAAGCACCTATTGTGCCACAGCAGGAGCCGTGGAACCATCGTGCACTGCTTGCCTGCCACACGCGCCTCGCCGACAGCTAATGTACGAATCCGCTTACACTGAACACAATAACCCCAGGATCTCATGGCGCGCCACTGTTTTGGGTAGCAAAGCATCTCTCTATGCACCCCGGAGGAATGAAGCACAAGTTTTAGCATAAGATCGGGAGCCGTGCCCCTCCCCAGCTCGCGCCACTGCAGACGCCATTTCCTTTCGAGCGGCAAACGCCTGGTTTTCTGAACGGTCCAGAGCCGGGCGGTCCTTGTCTAGAACGGAATTCGAGTTCTTGGACCTGGGTCGCATGCTAGGCACGCAGTCCCATGCAGGAACACGAAGTAAGAGTTTGCTACACAGGGACCGCATGAGTCCCGAGCTTGTAGACGTCTGCAAAAATCGCGAGAACCTCGTTCGGGAAGCGCTTTATGAGGCCCGGATAACTCTCTCTCCTGGCTCTTTTCCGACTCCAAGAGTCGTGCTCTGGGCAGCTGCTCAGGCGCCGTCACTACCTCGGTGTCCACGCCGAATGGCCTTTAACACCACAGCCTAGGGACCTACCAACTAGGGACCAAGGCCGGGTGGTTTTTGACCACGAGCTCAAGGAGCTGCGCGCTGGCCTGAAAGCTCTGCGAAGTCGGCTGCGGAGTCGGAGTCCAAAATCAGAATCTGCCTTCTGGCCAATCTCCTTGTCGTAGCGCGGAGGCATGTGAGACCTAAAAAGGGGCAGCTTGCAAAGCGGCCGAATCCAGGCCGAGTCCCGTCCGCTTGGCACCGGACAGCCACATCTGCCAGGCCCCAGTAGAGTCGCCTCCGACGTTCTTCTCCTTCAACAACATACTTAAAAGCGCAGCAGCTCCAAAGGTGCAGAAGAACTCCAGGAATCACCACGAAAATTCCAGAACAACACGGACCCGAATGGACCCTTTGCGCGCTGCTAGGACGCTAGCCGCTAGGACCTCTCCCAACATCCGACAGACCATCTGCATCTCTCCTGGTGCTCGCAGATCATGCCGAGGGCCCAGATGGAGGCGTCGACAGATGCCGCCACTTGCTTGGCCTTGTGGCTGACTGTCATAGTCATAGATGCAGGTCAGATGCTGAGGTCAGAAAAGAAATAGATGTGGGAAAGCCCTCAAGTGTTCTGGAAAACACTGCGGACCTCGGTGTTGACAGCTCGACGCCTTCGATGCCTGAAGGCGTCACCAAGAGAAGTCACACACACTTGACCCACACGGTCAGTGACGCGCCTTTCGCCGTGCTTCTGCAAAACGCGGGCAAGCTGGGATGCGGCAACTCCAGCGATCTGTGCCTGGAGTGCTGCCATGCATTCGAGAGAGAACTGAGACAAGGCCTTGTCACAACCCTGCCAACACCTAGTCTAAGGGAGAATCTCCAGCTAGTTTGAACTACAAGCAAAGACAAGCTTTGTAAGGGCGGGACAAAGATTGGCAGTCTCGATCCGTGCCCAACAACACTCGCTGCATGCCTGAGAGGAGTTGTAGCTGCCGTCTCAGCAAAAGGCAGTGCCAGGTGCTTTTGCGGCTCCGCGGCAAATTTTCTACAAGTTTCATCTCCTCAACGATCAGTGATGCAAGACCGTGGTCGACCCACAAGTGCCCCCTGACGCCAGACACTTCCGGCAAGAATAATTGAAAACTCACTACCAGCATTTTTTTGCCAGTCACGATGCATGCAGGGCCGGGTCGGCCCACGGATTGGTTCATTCTATCCATTGTCCAATGGACCGAATATGACCGAACTTGTGCCAAAAGTGACGGCAACATTTCAGATGCCATGTCTACCTGAAGATTGCATGGACGCAGGAACTGGCGCCGACTCTGACGTGTTGATGAAACTGCGCCAAGCGCCGTCGTGATTCTTCAGCTGCTGGTCAGAGTTCGGCATTCTCATGGTAATCAGGTCTTGTTCCTTCCTGGGTGCCTAAAGGTATACCCGGGACCGGCCTGACTGGTGTAGCGGCCATGGGTCCCGACGGGGAAGCGCATGGCTTTGGAAAATGCCACGCCTACAAGTCTTGCTAGCGGAGTCTAAAACATCTGCCACGCAACCAGATCCACAAACTTTCTTCTTTCGACTACGTCATCTGCCGTACTACGAGATCCATCGTCACCAATGATCGTGAGGAACTACCGCATGACAGCATGGCATTGTCTCAACGGAGGCGACAAGCCACCTTTGAGCAACTCCACTAAAAAAACCCGCAGCTCAGGTGTCTGCAGAGCAGCGCTAGATAATAGGCGCGGGCCTACCGACACGAAGATAATGCCACAGTAGCAGCTGTCATCAGCTGCGCAGGGCCGCCTGACCGGGCTTTGCCTCTCGTTTGTGGATCTGGCAGCGCAGCAGACTTGGACTGGGCAATGCCTCCGCCAACAACGCTTGTAGACTCGGGGCTTTTTCCAAAGCCAAGCTCTTCTACAGCCGGGACTCATGGCTCTCTACAGCGCAGAAAGCCATGAGTCCCAGCCTCGGGCTGCCTCTGTAGGCTTAACCCCTGCTGGACAGGGCAAAAAGTCGGCCGACTTGTTGCCCTGTCCAGCAGGGGTTTGACCCTTGCGTGCAGCTCCCCGCCTGTTGCGGGGTCATGGGGCAATTGTTGTTGGTCTGCAGCTTTGGGTAACCGACATCAAGTAGATCAAGACGTCACATGCATGCTGAGTCATGCAGGCCATGCAACACCCGGTATGGTCCTCAGGACATGAGCTATGGAAGTGCATCCTCGTAGAGCAGAAGCGAGCGGAGGCTTCCAGCGCTTGTTGCGAAGGCTCGCCGGCAGCACAACCGTCTTGCCTCCTCTTCCAGCAAGGCACAGTGGTGTGCCAGCATGGCGCATAGCTGCAATTTTGACATCGTCTTAACACTCTGCACTCGAGTCTAGCACGAGAGAATGACCGCCTTTGAGCCAAGCCTCGCCAGCAAACTGCAGCATAGCTTTTGACGGTTTGTCTTCCACAAATGCTGCATCAGTCGAAGGTGCAGGCTCAGGAACAGTGGCAAGGGGTCATGCGTCCTGTGTGCCTTTTTGGCGCACTGGTGCTCAGTATGTACAACAACTCCACTCATTGTATTTCCATTACCAGTGCATACCACTGCCATGACCTATTTTTCTACTGCTATACTGCGTGCTGACTTACTACTCTCATTCCTGCTCCTCTTACTGCGACAGTGGACTCCTGAGTAATACAATGCCTCCACGCTTGCGGTGCCCCCAAAAGCGATCACAACTCTCAACCCTGAACCCTAAATAAACCTAAACCGCGCTTTCAGCTTACTTCCTGGCCCGGAGTTTGCTTTCCAGGATCCGCTGGATCCTGAGTTCTTCTTCAAAAACTCACACGTGGATAATACGTTATAGTTAAATATACTATTCAGGTATGTTCTGGCATGACAAGGAAAGCAGATAGCGTTTACTGGATTGTTCATAGAGGACTTGATTTGTGAATCGGTACGTCTTCGGGGCCTTACTTCTACTGCTATTGATGCTGCTATTGCTGTTGCGATCGCGATCGCGATGGCGCTTGCTCTTGTTCTTGCTATTGCTGCTATTGCTGTTGCTTGCCACTGCGAGTATGATTGCTGGACTTCTGCTATAGAAATTTGGCAGCAACAGAACTCAAAATCATTTTGGTTACTATGGCGCTGGCTAAACTCTAGACCGAAATCCAACAACTCTAAACCCTAAACCCCTTAACCCTGAATCACAAACCCTAAATCAACCCCGAACCCAAACCCTAATTAATCCCTAAATCTTAAACCTTGCATCATAAACTCGGAACCTAACCCCTACACCTCACTGCTAAAACCCTAAAACTTGCGGTTTTGTTCAGCCGGAGTGCGATCCCAAAGCAGTTCCAGCTTCTTCTGCTTTCCGTGCGGAGAACGCTGCCTCAAGGGTCCTACATTAGAATTGGGGCTCAATGCTCAAGGTTTTCAGGGTTTTCAGTTTCAGGGTTTAGGGCTTTAGGGTTGGAGGGGCTTAGGGTTTGGGGAGGGGTTAGGGCTGAGGGAGTAGGGCAGTGAGCGCTCTCATGTCGACCAAGCTGCAAGTACTGTCGAAAGACGCCCAAGGCCTCCTGAAAGCAGCGAAGCCTCGAGTGACAGGTATGTTCAAGGTATGTGTTAATTTAAAATTACATACCATATCATAGTATACTATTGAATATGCTAGTATAAGTATGATGCCGAGACTAGCGGGATGCTCAACAACGCATTTGGTCCCAAGGCTACGAAAGGATTCTCTATATGAAGCCATGTGATGCTCGAACTAACGTAACGATTTCTTCGTCCCAAATCGCTGTCTATACCGGCACGACTAGCTTAACATACTCCTGACATTGGCACCGCATCTCACGGCACCAGGTGGGCGAAAAACTGGGTTTCGCTAGGACATCTGGGCATGAAGGAGGATGTGGCGTGAATTTGGCTCGCCTGCACTAGAAGGTTTGCTGCGGAACCCCGAAACTCTGAAAGATGGGACACTGCATTGCAGGGTGTGTCGAACATATCACTAAGACGCCGCTCGTGGAAATAGATGAAACGAGACGCAATGAAATTGTCCTGGCTTTTCTCAGATTAAGGCAAGCCTTGCATGTTGGCTGCCGGGCATTCTAAAAAGTTCTACTGTCAAGAAGTGACATCATTAACGTCATCATAATCGTCTTCGTCGTCATAGTCTCTGTCTTGCTTCGTCATAATCACCGTCATGACCAGCGGCCATCAGTGACCAGTTTTATCCACCTGCAGTGAGGCAGGCTTGTACTCGTCCTCGATCTTTCGAAGGACGGGCGAGTGGTACCACCAGCGCTTGTTCGTTCGCAGGTACCACTGGCTCAAGTCCTGGGAAAAGGACACCTGTTCGAAGACCTCGTCGGGCCAGTTGGGCTTGATGTGGTCTGCGATGCACTCAGACATAGACTTTGGGATGCCTTTGTACTCCCAACCGCCACCTTTGAAGGTCACAAAGTAAGCGTCATTTCCCAAGGCCAAAGATGCCACCCGATTGTGGTCCTTGTTGCCGGATCGAGCCCGTCCCGTGACAGCATCTTGGAGCTCTTGGGGAATCTTGCGGAAGTAGTATGCACCGCTGGCTAGCATAACGAAGGTAGCCCCCTTGGGGCCAAAGCTGACGAACTGCGTGTGGTGCTGCTCGACAAGCTCAAACAGCGTTGGATCCTGGATAGTCCAATACGTCGTATCAGGGAATTGCAGATAATATTGGCCTTCAGGCCCGAAGCTCGCAGTTTGCACCACGGTGCTCTTGCCCGCGGCCTCGCGCTGTCCAAGAACATCAGAAGCAGCCTTGCCCGAGTTCCAGATCTGGCCCCATGAAGATTTAACGTAATACTGATTAGCATCGATGCCGAAGACAACATCTTCGAGGAATGCCCTGAGCCCAACTTCTCCTTCGGGCCGCCCGTTCGGTCGTTCGTGTTTGCCCCGCACAGATCCGACTGCCCGCGCGGGCCGCAAAGCCGCCAGCCCATGCACGGCCCTGAAGCTCGACATCTCGGACTTAATATAGCAGCCTCAAGGAAAACAACCCTTATAGTAGCCCTTCAATGGAACCCTAGACCCTAAACCCTAAAACCGTCCTATTCTAAGTATCAGGGCCCTTTTTTACGTTACCTGGCAGGAACTGAGAAGCTGAAGCCATACTCACGGACGATGCCAGTGTCTGGATGCCTACCCATGAGATTGCCTTATAGCTATAGGATCCTACATACAAACCACTATGGAGCCTATGGGTAGTGTTACGGCTTCCGGACATTTTAGGGTTTAGCCGGGTGCAGGGTTTAGGGTTTAGGGATGTGCTGCCGCTTTGTGCTGAAATCGCTTCGTGTTGCTGTACTTCTGGGCGATTGTTGCTTTAGAGATTCAGGGTTTTGCCCAGGTGTCAAAGTCTGTTGGAAGTAGCCCCCGGCACGAATGCTCGCAAGAGTGTACACGATTTGGGTTTTTTCGGGGCTGATGTCTACCTTAAACTACCAAACCCTACTGTAGGTTCTTAGTATAAACCCCAGTATGGAATTTATAGGGACCCTACAAAAAAGTAGGTTTCGGTACTTTAAGGTAGATCCTCCGTGAGCTTGGGGGAGAGAGCTGGGGCTTTATGAGGCCTGGCAGCAGGATTGATTCTCGTTTCGCAGCCTAACGAGGCTTGGAGAAGGCATCATTATGGCGGGGATTTCTAGTGAGCTTGGACTTAAGTTCAGGTTTGGGCTTCCGTTTTGGGGCTTAATTAGGCGCTTGAAAGACGGGTTGGGCTTTGGAGATGTTTCTTTGACTTTC